GAATAAAGCGTATAATCCACTCCTTGTTATGCATGCAATTTCTTTTCAGGACATACTGGAAGATAATTTGAAGCCTTTTTTTGTGAGTGATTGTTTTTGTCAGTCAAGTGAACAAAATTTTGAATTCATCCACGACTTAGACCTAATTTAGTCATACCTTAGACCACCCGGCAGGAATCTTGAATGTACCCGACAAAGCTCATTAAGGAACACTAATATGTAGCACCTATAGGATTTATGTGTTGACAAGCAGCGCTAGTCATAATTCTTTCCAGGAAAGCAATTAGTTAACTGATTGAGCATGGCAAACCGCTAAGCTGCTCACGTTGTAATCAGTGCGCGATCAGTGATAAGCCAAATCCGAGCTTAGGAATCCTGCAACGACAATTTACCTCACAGACGATACAAGGGAACAAAGCAAGTACATGGCCAACAAGGGATCAATTTTCCGACTGAACTTTGTCAATTACATATTGTAAGTACGACACGAAAAATGGTTCCTCAATGGAGATTTTTTTGGGTTGATGGAATTGTGTAGTTTTAGTTGAACCTAATCCATACACTGTTTTCCTCCCACTCATTTAGAAGAATACCTTGGAGAGCTAGGAAGTCGATTACGTTATGGGGATGCGCCATGTGGTTGTCTTTCATCAAAGATCGCAGAAACATTTGCATGTGTGACATACGAATACAATAACTAGTTAATCATCGGGTGATTCTTCTTCTTACTTGAGCTGATATTTCGAAACACACCGTAGACAGAAGAAGGTGTCGTTGGCCCAACAGCAATGCGGGAGGAACCTCTGCTACGATTTTTATCCTATTTACCTGTGATGTATATGTATGATGAGCCACCGTGAACTTCGGGATAGAAGCAGTTATCTTTCTTGTAAATAGCCATAAACTTATGCATTTGTTGGATGGTTAAAAACACTTAGATTAGTGCAGTCAAAATGTGGCGCTATCGCAAGATACGGGGCATCCTCTGGGACCAAGCCAAGGAGGTGGAGTAAAATGAAAATTGCTCACGCCGAGACTATGCACCGTCCCGCTTAGCCCATTTCATGAAAAGGATTTTTAAGTGACACTGGAAGCGTTGGCCATACTCGCCGTGGTCCATCTCCTTGGATTGCACTCAAAATGTGATGTTTATTTCTTGTGAAGTATAATAAATACAATCGAAAAATACATTATCAACAACTATCAGGAACTGCGGGAAACATCGCTAGAGTCCCATATTTTTAGCCTAAGCGCTGAATATAAGCAAAGACAATTGAAGTCTTCACCAGCTGAAGACGTTGGCGATATATTCTAATGACATCTGCAAATGAGCTCATCAGAATCGGAGCCGCCGGCGACTCAATTAAAATCCACGTCCGTCGAGTTGAATTAGACGAGCGCAGTGCAAGGCAATTACGACGACTTCAGGGATTGTGGACTCTCTCGAGTCTACAACTACGCGATTCCTGGGATGCTCCAAAATCGGAATATTTCTACGCAATCATGGTCTGCGATGGAGATGCTGAGAGAAGGTGCCGTGCGCTATGTCATGGCCCACAATTAAACGATAGAAACCGGCCGCTCGTCTTACACACCGAGCCATAGAGTAGAAAAATCATTCGGCATATGGACTTGCATAACTTGCATCAGACAAAAAACTCCGCAAAACAGTTAAACTTCGTATGATCATCGAACTTTCATTCGGAAGCATGATCCTACGAAGGTCTACACTAAAAGTGCTCGCAGTATGTTTTTTGACGCGATGATTTCTTATTATTCTAAACGAATTCTTTGACTGTAGTTTGCTGAAGTTCTCCTAATTTCGACTTTTGGCTTCTATGGCCTGAATATACCTTATCCCCCGCTCTAGATTTGGGCAAGCACATAGTAGGCGTACTGGTTGTGTTACCAACTTTATTGGTGCAGAAAACCCTCGCCCAAACGAGAGGTGGGGGTGTTATCGTTCTCAGAGTGGAGTATTGGCTCGCTCCTTGGGAGTTCCTTTGATGAAGTTGAGTTTCACTCTCACTCTATTCGCTTGGAGTCTTATATTCTCAGAATCTTGTTGCGACGCCGCACATATTGCTGTTCGCATTGTGATGAACAATAAACACAGAGGAATTGATCAGTTGAAAATCAGCGTTTTGTATCCCAATGAGAGCCTCAATAATTAGTTAGAAAGGGCCTGTGGCTAGCATGACATTTCGTTCCCTATTCGACGAAACAAGACTTGAATACAATTCTGCAAACGCCTACCGAAAAGCTATGCAGAGTGTGCTTTGCACCATATGTGCTATCTTTGATAAGTCCTACGCCGTTGTCAGACTTTGGGAATCCGTGCATCTGCTAGAAAAGGGCATTTCAGCAGCAATTCGAGGTGCAAGCGATGCACCAGCGACCAAATGGTGCATCGTTCAACCCGCTGACGCATCGCTTGCGCCTAGAATTGCCACTGAAACGCCTATTCGCTAGTGATTCGACGGATTTGGTAGCGAATCCACGAAATCGCAAAATCTGACACCGACCTTATCTTATAATGGATCGTTTCTGTTCTTCTGGAACGGTAAATAAAAAGAAAAAAGCGCTTGGTTGCGTCGTGTGTCCCCTTTCATCAGGGACAAAGCAGAGGTATTGGTATTTACATATCGGCCGGCCCTCGTATAACTT